TTTTCATTTCTAAAATGGGGGTCCTATTAATACCTATCTCCAAGGATGTTATGAGGATTATATGAGATAAATCACATAAAGTACTTAGAAAGATGCCTGTACATTATTATAATTATATATGACATTTTGCATTTAATAATTTAAGACACATTTGTCTAATCAAAAACAATCTTCCTTTGTCAGACTAAATCCAGAAGCTTTTAATTAAATTTATAGTTATGTATACAATATCAACCTTTTGGTCAAGGATGGATCTCAGAATGCAGTGGTCCCAGAAATTTATAATGGAGCTGAAAAATTCCTATTGCCTAGTGATGTGGCAGCCAACATAATGTTGTAACCCAAAGCATTACCTTTTCTATGTTTAGACAGATTTAGAGAACAAATATTTACCACTCTGTTACAATTTCCTACGGTATTCAGTACAGTAACATGCTGTAGACGTTTGTAGCCTAGAAGCAATAGGCTATACGCTATAGCCTAAGTTTGTATAAGTACACTCTATGTTGTTCACACAATAAAAATTCATTTCTCAGAATGTAATCCATTGTTAAGTGATGCATGACGGTATTAGTAACACAACTTCCACTGGTTTTGTCAGAAAAATGTGTATTTGTACCCACACAGCAAAGCCTTAAAATCAAATAATTTTCAGGCGTTATAAGTTATTGTTATTTTCTGTAGAACAGTGATTCTTAATGGAGGTAATGACCTCCTCTCTCTCAAGAGATATTTGGCAGTGTCTAGACACACATTTGGTTTTCACAACTCAGCACAGGAACCAGTACTATTGGTATCTAATGGGTAGGGGCCAGAGACACACATCAAATAATTGTTTGACTTAAACCATGGATAGTGTTGAGGTCGAGAAACTTTATTCTGAAGACCCAGTTCTAGACTAAGGATAAATGCTGGATTAAAATAACAAAAAGAAACGGGATAAAATTAGGTAATAAAAGAAATACTTATTCTATTTGGGAAATATTGCTGGGACTTCCCAGATTGGTATAAATAACCTCCCCCACAAACCCCTCACCCCATCAATAACATAGTTCCATCATAAAATACAACATTCCACTCAATGGCAATAATTGTTAAGGTTTCCAAAGCAGATGTTACAACTTAAGTGAAAGACTAAACAAGCCTCACCAAACCTGGGAGAAACTTATTTTCTCAGAGATGAGAGACAGAAATTAATAAAAGTGAAAGAACAAACAACATAATAGAACAAATGGAGAATAAAAAAATAATAGAAGAAAAATGATAACCTTCAATTTCCACAAATTTAAGTTGATTTTTGCATTATGTCAATGGCT